CTCTTTCCCAGCATGCACATGCACATTCATCTGGATACTTCATAACTCAAGATTCTGCATTTGGGAATCTTATTCTTCCTGTTTTACCTCGCCTTGACCCAGAATGAAGAAAATAACAAAAGTAACTTTGTAATATCAAATGCCAAAGCTACTATCAGTCAGTGCTATACAAACTGTGACTTGCCGAATTTTGGTGAACTTTTACATATTTTGTTTCTTTAAAAGAAAGATATGTGTAAGTGAAAGCAAAAAAGAAGGGTGACCAGGATGATGATAGCTCTGGAAGCTGTATTATCTGAGGAACTGATTATGCTACCCATGACTGTAAGTTTTGTGTAATGCAGTTTGATTTTTAATTCTGAGTCAGACTCTGAATTGGATATGGTCATATAAACCCACCCCACCACCAGCTAGTTGGACTGAGTATATTATGTCTACAGTTGACTTTCAAGAACCATTTAAGTACTTAACTTTAAACAAATGAGGGTGCTTTTTAAAAATGTGAACCAATAGGCTTAAATAAGTTACATTCACATTTGCTGTTTATAGAACTGATATCAGTGTACCTTTTGAGTTTATAATCAATGTATCCTGAAATATCCTTTAACTTGTGACTCGTTCCCCTATTCTCAATTTTAAAGGAAAACCCAAGATAAGACTAAGTTACCAAGCAGTCTTAAACATCTTTTGTAAACCTATGCCACTACAAATTATGTGACTAAATGCTATTAAAAACAATTAATAAGAAATGTAGTTTTAAATTTTGTATATGCTTTTATTTAGTGTTACTGCATGAATGGTGTGCCTGTACAGTTTTACTGCCCATTTTTGCTCTAATTAGAAACATTAATTAAAGTTGATCCCCTTTTTAGTTATTGTAAAAAGGAAAGAATTAGGTTAAGCAAGTTTCTCGATATGATACATCTTTAACAGAATCCAGGGTGCTTATTTAAATATGCAGTCCCTACAGCTGACCCTAGTCCCATGGAATTAGTGTCTCTAATTCAAAATAAAGTCTGAAAACCATGGGTTAGAGAATTCAGTTGTAGGTCCCTGAAACTTAGAGGTCATCTAGCTAACATCGACATTTTTTTACTTTTAATAGGACTGGAATTAAGTTTTCTACTATATCACAGATATAGTATTTTTTATAACTGACCTCATCTTGGCCTTGAGTCCCCATCCTCTCCGGTGGTAGCCTGAAATTTAAACTTGAGATTCCAGTTTGGGTCAATAATTAGAAAAAGTACATCTCCCTTTTCGAAGAGTTTCTTCTCTCTCCTTCCCTTAGATATTTGTACCAACCACACAGCCCCATCTTACCTAAACTATATGAAAAGGAGTGGACAATTCTAGATATGGCTGTGCCATTTAGATTCTTTCTGTTGGGAACTGTGACTGGTTTTCTTCATTTGGGTGAGTTGCCAGCTGTCCCCATTGTAATGGTCACCATTGCAGCAAAGGTGCCCTTCTGCTGCTGAGGATCACCTGGGACCTTTGCCTCTGCCCTGCCTCTGGTCCACACAGCTAGCCTTGGCCCTTCTTATCGTGGTCCTCATTTCCTTGAATTGATTTGACTAAGTTTCTGTTCTGTGCGATCCAGGAGCTACTGGCATCATTCTAAATCTACCGATGCTAAGGAGATAAATTTTTTGGATTGTATAGTTTTTTATTGTTGAAGCCTCTGCCAAATGTGTGACTTTTATAACCTTGGTAAAGAGATCTTTTTCCAGTGGTATCTTTTCTGGTCTCAGCCTTTCAAATAGAGTAAGCACTTCCTTCACCCGTCTCCTTTGAGTCACTTACAAATTCAGTTCAGTTCCATGTGTATTTTTTAATACCTACTCTGTAAAGCTGTGCCCTGGGGGGAAAAGGAGAGTAAGACTTGCTCTTAAGGAGGTCACGGTGGAGAGGATCCTACTCTGGTACAGCAGTGCGGAAGCCAGCGTCCAGTGAGTGGCACAGGAGCCGCATCCCGGAGCATGGGCAGTCTACACAGGCCTAGGAGTATCGATGGGATTTTACCTGGCAGGGGAGGGAAGAGCTGCTGCAGGTTAGAGGTCAGGATTTCATAGTCAAAGAGAAGTAGGGACTACGACAGTTGTGAGGACTGCAGAGGATAACGGAGAGGGCAGTAGTGGGCTCCGACAGAAGCCCTGAGGACACGTGCCAGTGTTGCTTCCCTCGGAGCGCGTGTGTATGTGGCTAACCCACTTAACCTTGAGCTTTACGTGTCACTCTGTCTCATCTGTATAATGGGCACAGAACACACTCTGCCTACTCCATAAAGTGTCTAGACCAGTGTTTTTCAAAGTGCAGGTCTCAACACGTTACCAAATTGAGAGGCCAACTTAATAGCTGAATGGGGAGTGACCCGCTTTTTTTTTTTATAAAATAGAAAATATCAGAGTACATGGCACGTAGTAATAGGAGGTCTTGTTCATGAGTCTTCCTTTTCTGTGTGTTTTACTTATTTTGTTTATTGTATGCTCCACTAGCATGTAAGGTCTTTGAAGGCAAGGGCTTTTGTTCCCTCCTTCCTTTTTGTTTACTACTGTATTCTGCTGAGAATAGTATTTAGCATATTGTAGGTAGTTAATACTTACTTATTGAAGGAATTAACGAATGAATAAATATGACCTGGATCATGATATAAAGGTTTTTTTTTTTTAAATGTGAAATGGCAAAAATGTTTTGAAAGCCACTGCTAAATAATAGAGATGATAGTGCTTTGTATGACTCTGGAATAAAAACTGAAATGACTTAATAATTTCAAAGGCAGATTTTTTTTTTTCCTGAACAATCTATAAGCTGTCTCATTATTTGTCTCAGTTCTTTGCTTCACTTTGGCAATAAAAACTCAGCTTTTATATGCACTTAAGGCCCACTGAGGCAAGGGTTTTGGCAAATATGGTTACACTCAGACTAGAAGATCGACAGAGCGGACATCGGTTCGTTAGTGCAGTTGGTCCCCCCACTGGAATCCCACCACCAGCACTAGCCCATTTCAGTAGCATTAAGTTCACCCGGTATTTACTGAGTGCTGCTTCCTCACCTCTGTCTGCACAGTGACTAGCACACAGTAGACACCCACAGCTTTTTTTAATGAGCAAGTAAAGAATGAACATGTATGGAGGAGGAAACTTCGCTGTCCTCAAGAATCTGACAGTCTAGGGGACACTAGTAGCTAATGCTAATAGCACACCAGTAGTGAGGAAGGAATGAGGACGTGAGCGTGGAAGGACCAGTGAAGGCTCCATCAGAGAACAGTCATTTGAACTGGGCTTTCAAGATGAGAGATTCCAGCCGGGAAAGATAGGAGAGCAACATTCAGAGCAAAAGAAAAACCTGCACAAAGGCAGGCAGGAGAGCCGGTGTAGGGGCCATTGTGAAGCAACCAAAAGTCCAGTTTGGTTGGACTTGTATGGACATTGTGGGTAAATTTGTATATGGCAATAATTAGAATGAGGCCAAACGTAGGCTGGACTCATATTCTACAGAGTCTGGAATTCCAGGGTGAGGCAAATGTCTGTAGCCCAGTATAGAGCTGGGAGCGACTGAACATTTTTGAGCACAGGCAGGTATAGAGATTAACCAATTAGGCCCTCATGAGCTCTTGGGAAAGGGGGACTTGCAAGGCACCAGAAGAATTTTCACTCTCAGTTTCTACTGAGACTTCAGACAGGCGTGTTCTGTTTACATCCATGCCTCAGCTCCAGCCCCATCTACCTCTGCTGTCTCTTCCGCTTAGTTCTTGGATTCTTAACCCAAATTTGTTTCCTCACCTCCCCCCTTAACTGCCTTTCGCTCTCACAGCTTTTCTCTAGAGCTCTACTTCCAAGAACCTTTTAAGAAAGAAAAAGCAAGGCATCCTTGCAAATATTCATTTAACCTTCACGACAGCTCAGTGAGTGGACGTTCTTAGTAGTCTACTCAGCACAAATTCTTCCTTTCCCCTTCCTAACAATACTCAGATTTTTATTGAGCATGACCCTTCCCCAATACAGCCAGTTTGCTGACTGTCTCAGCAACAGGGGTGGGCCTTACGTGCTCCAAACCGATCAGGATAACTCCCTTTTGCCACAGCCAGTCAGCACGTGGTATATCACAGGCCACGGGAACTGGTTCAAGAGTGGACACGTTACCCAAGTTCAACCCAAATGAGACTGCAGGAGAGGTTTGCTGCACGTATGGAAAAGATATTTTTTTCACCTTTCTGAGACCGCTACCAAAAGGGAGTCTTTCTAGATGTGTAAAAGGAAATTATATATATTTTTTTCCTGAGTGTTGTTGGCAGCCATCATGTGACCATGAGGTGGAACAGCCTTAGGATGAAGCCACCATGATAAAAGGTGCAACAGAGAAATATAAAGAAACTGGGTCCTTGAGGACATCATTGCACAGCTGAGTCAATTCCTAAAGTGCCGCCCTTCCTCTATGGAAGGGTATGTATGGGGGTAGTAAACCCTCATTATTGTTTAAGCCAGATTAAAGTAGGTTTTCTGTCACTTGCCATCTAAACACAAGATGTACTAACTTGCTAAGTGATCTCTTAGCCATACAGCTAGAGGTGGGAGAGCAGAACTCAAAACTCCCATCTCGCCTCGGGTGCCACCTCCACCACCTGCCTTTCGCTCTTGGCTGCCACCAGAGTGAGCTGCCCGCTCTTCCC